GGGAGGTCTTTGCCAAGGTTATCCTCTTTCTCATTTTTATTTGTCTTTGTCGCAGAAGCTTGCTCTAAGAATCGTCAAAACGGTGTTCTTCGGGCTCAATTCAACGTTACATTTCTCTACCAAGTACCAACCACCAATCCAACCAGTTTCGATCCACAACCAATATATTCACCTCTATTGCTTCTCAATCTCACTTACAAAGGACCTAATAGCGGTGATGATTTGTAGCTACAAAGGCAAAGGAAAAGACAATGAAAAAAGGCACAAGAAGGAGACCAAAATTCACAAAGAAATCCACCGGTTTTGGGTACCACAAAGGAGCCATTTTCACCCTTCTATGGCACACGTTTTTTCACCTCTTTTTACACACAAATCACACTAGAAAATGGCTGGAGTTATAACCATATAAATAGGGTTAGGTTAGGCTTTTAATTGAACCAATAACAAAGCTAAACAGTCCAACATTCAAAGATATCCAAGAGGGATATAAATGAATTGGGTAGAGCCTGTGTATTTAGTTGTTGATATTTATTTCATTCATCGGCCTAGACTATGAAATATATATTCTCACGCTAATATCACAGCCCGAGATTTATTGGGTATCAAAATTCAACAAATATCCACTTTGATACCCAATAAACTTGTAAGCAATCAAAACATATAGTTATTACTTGCATAATCAAGGTAGCCAATAAAATTGAAATCATAGATCTTACCTCGTGTTTCGAACTCGAAACGCATACCATACTTGCTCTATATACTCACCAAGTTTAAGGTTAAGAATAACCAGGTAGAAGCAAATATTCACAGTAATCAATCAAAAACAGATAAATACGTAATTCGATATAACATAGGATAACACACAGATCTTTTCCAAAAAAAAAAAAAAATGTTCACACAAAATCGCATATTAATACTATGTTAATCAATAAACGACCAACACATGCATAAATGACTCAGACGAAAAGATCTTACCACACTTATCTAATCTTATTCCATGTTGCTCATATTTCGAGAACACATATCTCCTCTCATTACCTACCATGCTCACTAGACTGATCGCTCAACTCATGTCTAATTGGTAAATTACAATAGATCCTAAGTTCTCGGGATAATCCTCTATCACCACATCACTTCTCTCAACCTACGTGGATAATGGGTCTCTACCTAACAGAAGTAATAAAAATATCTCTCTCACACTCCATCTAATCAAGATCTCTTTACAAATAAAGGACTCCAACATTTAATCACATATTCACTCGTGATTCAAATGTCACACTCTAGATCCCTGGTACAAACCACCAATGTACCTCAGACATCTATACTCCACCCTACCAAAAGACATACAACATACTGCTAATGCATCCCGACCCGCTATGCATACAAACAATTACACCAAGTAATTATATTGACTCAAATTCATGTAAATGCATATATCAAATACATTGAAATGTAGCATATAATTATGCAACAAAGTTAGGCAATCATAAACATGCAGAAAGAATTATACACAGATGCACATGCAGTAACTAGGTTTACTCTCAATAAACCTCACTAGGGTCATCATTTGAATCACTACTATCTTGAGTTATACCTAAATTCATTTGCTTAAACTTTATTATACGTCTTATTATATGTAACTCACCACACCTCTTATCTCTCTTTTTAGTTTTAATCTTCATCTCCTTACCCTTAAGGGAGTTTATGACAATCTTGGGTGTTAATGTGTCTCTACCATACTTGATTGCATTTTTAACCTCTCTATATGAATCAAGCATGTAATTAAGTAAAATAATGACTTTATATGTTTCAAATACATTTTCGTCATAATTAATAATATCTTGAATAAGTTTGTTAAAAATATCTCAGTTGTCATCATGATCCTTTGAACGATCCATTTTAAATCTGAAAAATCGTTCAAACAAGTACAAATTTTTAGGATAGATTTAAGCAAATATAAGTTTTTCAACTCTTGTCAAAGTTCTTTTGTAGAATCAAGTTTTCCAACATTTTTTAAGATAGTGTTAGATAGGTGTAAAATAATTGAAATGTAAGCAAATTCATCATATTCTTCTTTTTGTGTTCTGTCAAATTTATAGGAAATTTGCCATCTATAGCTTTTGAAACTTTTTGTTGAACCAAAACCTCCTTCATCTTTTGTTGCCAAATTGAAAAATCTCATTTCCCATTGAAAATTTCAATTTCGAAATGTGAAGACATTTTACGAAAACAAAATGACTATATGCACATGATAGGTCATACAAAGTAATCCAAAGGCCGTAATATACACCGTTTTAGATTCCCAAAGTTTCATAAGATTCACGATCTTAAATTAAGAAAATATTCAAACAGATCAAATCTAAATGTTCTAACAAGATAATCAAGCAATACAAAGATATGTAAACAAAAAATTCAAATTTTCACGCAATGCAGTCTCACACAGTGATTATATGACAATTAGAGCACAAAACCAATTACAAACTTGCAATCAACTTCAACACTTCAAATATAGTAAATAACTCCTAAATTTCTAGCACAAGCAATGTTACCCTTTCACGATATCT